GTATGAAGACAATCATAAATGATGTAGCTTTAAAAACACAATGTTCCCTATACTGCCCCACGTTTATTTTGATCCATCTTCATCAACTCCAAATTGTCCCACATTCCTTTTAGATAGTAATACGATATGAATTTGTCTGTCCACATACTCTTAGGCCGGTTTTATGCACCGCGACAGTCGCGTGTCGCATGTCGCGGCGCGACTCAAGTTCTATTGAGTTAAATGGGAGCATTTATGCACCGCGACAGCGACAAACTGCCGCGGAGCGACTCTAAATACCCGCGACAGGTTTTAGAATCGCAGCTTCAAAAAATGTGTCGCGCGCGGTTCAAGTTCTATTGGATCAAATGGGCACGTTTATGCACCGCGACAGTCGCGGCGCGACAGTAGAATTTTTCATACTCCACGTGGTATATTCTCCATATATTTATATTGATTAATGTTAATAATTAGTATATAAATGAGTTCTTTACTCTTTATTTGTAATATAAATTACATAATTATATTATGTAATGACATTTTTAAGAGGGTTGACCCAATTCCAACTGTAAATTGTATGTGTTGTTTAAATAACTGGAGTTTTGTCATTAACGTGTACAACACTACAGGGTCTATATTTAAACAACTTAATAATCACTTCTACATCAAAACACAACACACAACATTGGATTGAGAACAGACTGATTTCTTTAATTCCCCCACCACCGGATGTGAGTTTGCGCGACAAAAAAGTGTCGCTGTCGCGTGACATTTTTGTCAGCCGCAAGACGTGGCACGACTCGCGACTCGCGACTGTCGCGGTGCATAAAACCAGCCTTAAATGCTCTGCGTGGATGTTAATCAAGGGATTAGGCTGGTTTTATGCACCGCGACAGTCGCGTGTCGCGTGTCGCGGCGCGACTCAAGTTCTATTGAGTTAAATGGGAGCATTTATGCACCGCGACAGCGACGAACTGCCGCGCGAGCGACTCGGAAATCTCCAAATACCCGCGACAGGTTTTAGAATCGCAGCTTCAAAAAATGTGTCGCGCGCGGTTCAAGTTCTATTGGATCAAATGGGCACGTTTATGCACCGCGACAGTAGTATTTTTCATACTCCACGTGGTATAATCTCCATATATTTATATTGATTAATGTTAATAATTAGTATATAAATGAGTTCTTTACCCTTTATTTGTAATATATATTAAATCATTATATTATGTAATGACATTTTTAAGAGGGTTGACCCAATTCCAACTGTAAATTGTATGTGTTGTTTAAAAAAACTGGGGTTTTGTCATTAACGTGTACAACACTACAGGGTCTATATTTAAACAACTTAATAATCACCTCTAAATCACAAACACAACACACAACATTGGATTGAGAACAGACTGGTTTCTTTAATTCCCCCACCACCGGATGTGAGTTACGCGACAAAAAAGTATCGCTGTCGCGTGACATTTTGGTCAGCCGCAAGACGTGGCGCGACTCGCGACTGTCGCGGTGCATAAAACCAGCCTTAGCCGGCAGCCCGGTACAGTGCACGAATGGAATCTGATGAATTATGATTGTTTTCTTTTTGCACAATGACATGTCTCCCTTTGTTTCACAATCCGTCTCGCTACCGACTGGTTCACCGAATAATCACTGGTCGATAATACTATCGATTTATGATATCGTATTTCAAATCCATATTTTGGTCAATCCTCTTCAGCTTTCACTGCGCTTCTCAACCTATAACATATACAAACTTCTAATAACCCTTCTGGTACATTAATTCAACACATTCTACACCTCAGGCTGATTCGCTCCACTGAAATTAACTTAATATTCCATTCATATAATTCCCATATTTCCGCCATGATATCTTTATTAATTACATTGGCTATTCGAGTTTAATTAGCCGAAGGAAACTCGCTCTGAGCCTCCTATAAACTCGCTCTGAGCAGATAAACTCGTCACTGCGGGGTGCTGAGAGAACCAATATCTAAATGAAAGCGTGCGAACTATATCTCAGAAGCTGGAAAATGAACAGCTCCAGGTCGCCATTAGTTACAAGTGTTGAGAACTGGATGCAACCTCGCCTGTAGCCGGTAACACGCTCGACTTCATGCGATTCTGTAGCTTTTACATTGTTAGGTATGTTTCTTATAAGCTTGTAAAAATAATGGAAAATGCATTCCTAAGCATAAACCAATTACTGAACCTTTTATCGGAGTATCGGAGTATTTCGGAGTACGGAATTTTATGAGGAAGTGATGGAATTATGGCACGTGTAGTTGCAAACTTGGTGCTTGCATTGTTGCTAAACTTCATTGCTTTGTGGTATAAATGTGCTATGGATTTTATTTAAAACACATAGATGATTTTTTATTAATTATTGCTATACGGTTTCTGTTGTCCACGAAAACAAATCAGTTCATTAGTTTTTATTTATTTTTAAAATGGTTTACGTTAATTAATTTTATTTCGATAGTTTTTTACACACGTAGTTGAACCTAATAAATTAGTTTTTAGGTTGTAATTAGTGTGATTTTGGCCATGTCTGTTTAGAATTAGCTAATCACAAAGCAAGTGCCCATGTCAGGTGTAGGTAGAGTTACTTACGAAACAGATTTTAAAACAAGCTATTTTGCCCCAAAATATATAAAACATTATACAAGAAAGACGTTTTATATTCGTATATTTTTATCCACTTTTAAAATAACTGAGGAAACCCATTTTACTTTCACGTGGAAAAATATCACTGCAATAAATGATTTGTCTCGTCGAATATATGCATTTTTAATACTGTAGAATGTAAACGGACTGTAACAAATTTATGTTTACCCATTACATTTGCCTTTTCATCAATTGAGATTGAACGCAACCGAGCGTAATTTGACCTAAATTTTAGAGAAAACGAGAGTAACCATGCCTTGAGTAGCTTTGTTAATGACCGACACTAGCGCTTTCTGCAGTCAGGACCATTTACTACAAGCCCAATAAATGATCAAGAACAATACGGTCGAGTTTCGGACGGTAAAAAAGACTCAACGTTTCTCGTGATCTTTTGCAGGAAAACTTTTCATTGCTAGACGAGTACCATGACCACTTATGTACCCAGTTAAGTATCCATTCTTTCCAAAGGACATTTGATCCTGTTACAGGACCAAGGACAATGTGGGCGGTGACACAAACCTCTCTACAACTGTACCGTAGTTACAGATAGTAATTAGTGACAGTAGTGCAGAGGTGAAGGTCACCTTGCCACAGAATAGCTCCGAGGTAGAGGGGTAATGGAGAGTTATCAGTGGATATTAGTGTTCAGATTATGCGCGGTGGAGAAATGGCTAATCGTTAAATATAGTTTGCGATTTAATGTGTAGGAATTTATTTGATGGCCTATGCAAAGTAAACTGTGCACAAACGGCACATAATGGCGGGTGTCGTGGGAACTACTTGACATGTGCCTGGACACATAAGAAGGCAGTATTTTATCAACTTATTTAGGTACAGTATAAAAATATTATTATTTTCTTAATAAATCGCAAAAAGACCCTGAATATACGGTAAAAACATGTTCACTAAATATTGGAAGACTCTTTCATAATAGGCAAGAAAAAAATACGTAATATACCAAATATCGATGAATATGAGTCATACTAGTCATTTACACTGCTCAGGCAGAAAGGTTTACGTTCCATTAGAGACTACAAGTGTTCAGGGATCCATAAATTTCAAGAAGTACCACGCAAACAATCTTTACTAGTTTTTTAAAAAGATTTTCTCGATTACATTGTTTAATTAAAAAACGCTTACTGAAATCAACTTACCTAATACTACACAACCCCAATTGTCAATAGTTTAACGTACGTACATTTTTAGAGTAAATGTAGTTAAGTTATTTCTGAAGTTTCTTCAATGAAAAAGAATTCACCCTTAACAAAACTTTTACAAATCTGCTACAACTTAGTTATACTAACACTGAAATGAAATAATTGCGTCCTCCATTTCTTTTGCCCAGGATCCGTCAATCATGTCTTTTCTTGTGGGGAAATTATGTGGATTAATTCAGGCTTAACCACTTCTTTTACACCAATTTCGTCAAAAGTGTAATCAAATTAATCCGACAGCTCTTTAAAGTGAAATTGGCCTGATAAAACCAGAGGGGTATTAGTGCCAAGACCGGTGCAATCATGTTGTATCTTCTATCCACTGAGGAGGATGTAGTTTGTAGATCTGAAATAGAAAAGTGAAAGAGTAGAGTGAGAATAGAATCGCTCTTGAGCCATCACCATCTCATCTGTCGTCGTCCACTTCTCGGAGGAGATGCAACCACGTTCATTTGAAAGCTCTCACTTCCTTGGATGTTAGTTTTCGTTGACATATTGTACTAAAAGGATGGCCCAATGATCAATCATTCGAAAAGAGTAGTTATTCTCCATTGTTTAGAAGTAACAAAAGTTCTTATTTACTTCTTGAGTAGCATTTTATTTTACATGTTGCTGCTACAGTATTACACAAACGTATTATCAAATACGTCTTAAAACAGTTTTATCTGCAACTACAATTTATTGTAAGCATTTACAAGACGGTAACTGGGTATTGAAGATGTTAAATGATCGATCGCAGTTACACCGATCACTATGCACAAACGGAGTTCACCTCCGATTTATGTTTTGCTTTGTAAACGTTTACAATGTAAATGTAGATGTATGAAAAAGTATTGGTAGGACGTATTTGTATTTTACTATGTTCATACAGTGATTCAAGCAAATGTTCTGACCTCACATTAAAGTGCAAATTTAGTTTAAGTATAAACATTTGATAGTTAAAGTAGGAGACTGATGTTGGAGATTCAAGCAAATCATGCTTGCCGATTTTATTAAAAGGGGTTTTAGAAATTACTTTTATTTTTGTTAACCATGAAAATTTACACAGTAAAGCAAGACACACCTTTTCCACCCAACAAAAGGTGAACTATTTCCTCAACTTACTTCAACACTTCTAATCATCAACTATACTGTTTCCAGCTGGTGCCAGTGGGGACGACGATCTTCCGAGGTTTGAAGGCGGTCGACAGAGACGCCGGTGTCAACAGCCTGGTGGAGTACTCCATCATCCCCGGTGACGGGCGAGGGGTGGGGACAGACCAGGGGGTGGGCAGGAGCAGAGTCACTGTGGCTGACGGGTACGGCTACTTCGCCATCAACCTTCCTCACCAGGGACAAGTCACTGTCAACAGGAGTCTGGACTATGAGAAGACCCAGAGATACCTCCTCACCGTGGTGGCTACTGTGAGTATCTGACAGTTTAGAAGTTACATTAGTCTAGTTGTAGTAGGGTACGGCTACTTCGCCATCAACCTGCCTCATCAGGGACAAGTCACTGTCAACAGGAGTCTGGACTATGAGAAGACCCAGAGATACCTCCTCACCGTGGTGGCTACTGTGAGTATCTGACAGTGTAGAAGTTACATTAGTCTAGTTGTAGTAGGGTACGGATACATCGCCATCAACCTTCCTCATCAGGGACAAGTCACTGTCAACAGGAGTCTGGACTATGAGAAGACCCAGAGATACCTCCTCACCGTGGTGGCTACTGTGAGTATCTGACAGTGTAGAAGTTACATTAGTCTAGTTGTAGTAGGGTACGGATACATCGCCATCAACCTTCCTCATCAGGGACAAGTCACTGTCAACAGGAGTCTGGGACTATGAGAAGACCCAGAGATACCTCCTCACCGTGGTGGCTACTGTGAGTATCTGACAGTGTAGAAGTTACATTAGTCTAGTTGTAGTAGGGTACGGATACATCGCCATCAACCTTCCTCATCAGGGACAAGTCACTGTCAACAGGAGTCTGGACTATGAGAAGACCCAGAGATACCTCCTCACCGTGGTGGCTACTGTGAGTATCTGACAGTGTAGAAGTTACATTAGTCTAGTTGTAGTAGGGTACGGATACATCGCCATCAACCTTCCTCACCAGGGACAAGTCACTGTCAACAGGAGTCTGGACTATGAGAAGACCCAGAGATACCTCCTCACCGTGGTGGCTACTGTGAGTATCTGACAGTGTAGAAGTTACATTAGTCTAGTTGTAGTAGGGTACGGATACATCGCCATCAACCTTCCTCATCAGGGACAAGTCACTGTCAACAGGAGTCTGGACTATGAGAAGACCCAGAGATACCTCCTCACCGTGGTGGCTACTGTGAGTATCTGACAGTGTAGAAGTTACATTAGTCTAGTTGTAGTAGGGTACGGCTACTTCGCCATCAACCTGCCTCATCAGGGACAAGTCACTGTCAACAGGAGTCTGGACTATGAGAAGACCCAGAGATACCTCCTCACCGTGGTGGCTACTGTGAGTATCTGACAGTGTAGAAGTTACATTAGTCTAGTGGTAGTAGGGTACGGATACATCGCCATCAACCTTCCTCATCAGGGACAAGTCACTGTCAACAGGAGTCTGGACTATGAGAAGATTTAGAGATACCTGCTTACCGTGGTGGCTACTGTGACTATCTGACAGTAGAAGTTACATACCGTAGTCGAAATGTTAACGTGGATCCAGTAGAAAGGCATTAATAACATTTAAATAAGTAGTTGAAATCTATACAGTACTTGTACTTGCTTATTTTTCACTGTGCCTTCATTGTTGACTGTGCACCCTGATGATGGACTGCTACGTTGACATTTATAACAGCTTGATGACACAATCCAACCCAGAAGGCAATGATCGTTGTGAGAACATCCCTATTTCTGATTGTTAGCATTTTCTTTTAACTCTGAAATTTTCTTTAGTCTACACAAGAACCTAATTGTACTTAAGTATACGCTTGGCATCACCATTGACTATGGCCTCACCCAAGTTACAAAAAAATGTTATTGCAATACAAGAAAATATGTAAAAGCAACACCACAGCTCATATTGCAATTACGAAGCTGTATATTTAGAATCAGAAATGCACCCAATCAAAATCCACTCCCTAGTAATTATTTTGGTGTTTTGATCGACATGAAATCCCAGCAAAAACCAAAACGTGTAGGAAACTGTTTTGCTGTAACGCTAATAAAATTAAGTAATAAAATAAGGTCGGCGATTGCCTGAGGTTCTTGACGAGATAGCATCGACAAACGATCGCCTCGGGGAGAGAGGAGGTCTGGGGATGGATGCTAAACAGGTGTTTAGAACAATTACCTGGACTATTAGCATTACCATCGCCTCGCTGTGTCCTGACCTTGACTACCGTTCTCTTGCAAACAGGAACACTGACGGGCCTAGAGGTCGTGGATTTATTGTAATTTATAATTTTATTTTGCCTTAATCAATTAGTGAGTAGTATACCAATTTACAAATTTTACATAATCATTTTTTAAACTTAAGACATCTTATTCTCTTTTGCAAAATATTCTGACGCTTCCTTGATTAAGTTGAATTGGTATGATGGCTAGAAAATAATAGTTTCAATCAGCAAACTTCAATAAGATGATTCTAAAGTAAAAACGTCATTTGGGCTATAAGGACTTCATTTATTTGCACACAAGATTAAATCATTTCTTTTCTTTTTTAGCATCTGGATCAAATTTAATAACAGTAAGATCTAACGATACCTGAAGTGCTGTAAATTAATTGTCAATTTGTTTTTCCTGGGAGGTGACCACTTGGTTCATATCTAAAAATTTATTTTCTGGCTGAACTGTTGTAACATTTCTCATCATCTCTGGGGTTGGATTTTTTCTGTAGTAACTTGTAATAACTGGATTTCAGCGTAGGGAAGATTTGAGTGTCACATTTGTATTCTCAAAGTTTCAAACAACGATCTGACAACGGTACTGTCAGATTACACCCTGTAATGATTAATACCCTAGCAGCTAAATGGAGGATCAACTTGACGCAATGGTCAAAATTTATTGTGGACTAAAAATAGAGTAGAATACAGAACTATCATCAGAGTCGTGTACAGAGAAATTCCTTTTCTTGCACTTCAACATTGTTAAAACAGCACAACAATCACTTCTGGATATCTCTTTATCAGTATCAGTATCATTGGTACAATATCAATCTCCGATGCTGGGAGCGGCTGTAAGCACCACGCACGACGCACGTCCTCCATGTATCACAGGTTGGCACACAACACATGCATGAGTAATTGTAGATAAATCTCCAACACAGACATATACACGGCCACGACAATCGAATACACGAGTTCCGGCGTTTCATTACACGTTTCATGATCACTGCCAACTTTATGCTGTGAAAATGATTCATGGTTTAAGTTTTATTTGTTGGCGTTGTCTGTTTATGGGTATTTTACAGTATCCATATAAGCTCTGCGAAGGCTACACATTTTAAGTTGGTTTAGTTTTTCCAAGAATAATTGTTCCGTATTCAAGCATCTACGCAACCTAGGTGAATCCAGACTTCATTCATATTTTGTTCTGACCCTTGCCCTGTCACGTGATGTCTGGCAATTTCCCCCATTCCTCATGTACTCTTCAACCCGGCATCATGTTCTCGCCATTTTCCCTAGTTTTGTATTATAATATTCCCCTACTCTATTTGTGGCATATAAATTGAACTTATATTATCGTATGTTTATCTTATGTATTTATTTGTGACACACCTAACAAAAAAGTGAACTGAATAGTTAAAAACTGTATTCAAACTGTTCTTGGTGCAACTACCGGTCGCGTACGCGAAAGCTGGCCAGCAAACATCAAGTGCGTCAACGGTCTACTAGACATCACTTCAGTAAAAAGGAAGGTACCAAATCACATTTCTTCCTATTTAAAAGTTTATTATTTTGTGCTCACAGTGTGTCTCTAAAGCTGATCTTAACATAATATATCTCACATCCCTCATTTTTTATACAGTCCACCATATCGAAGTTTACCCCCCATTCGCTGGTCCTGTCGACCCGGACTACATTTGCCAATTAAAATATAATTGATACAGTACAATAATTTATTTCTCAAATGAATGTTTATGATCAGTGTCACATCCCTAACTGGTAATATTTTGTCTTGTGAAACATTATTACGAACAATTTTAATGTCCATTCCTGTTTCATACCAGACAATTATTTTCATGTTCAATTTTGTCACTGCCACCTAAATCACGTCAAGTTAGGCCTACCTAGTTTGTCTTGAAATAAATCAAGCTTAGAACATTTTTCAGGATTGAATATTTATTCACATCTCATCCATAAAATCCTTTTAAATAATAAGGTCTCACAATCAATTCAGCCTTATTATTTGGGTGTATAAATAAAATTGCAAAGTTAGTTAGTAGTTATTTCCCTGAAATATTCTATCCCATTGTCCGCCATTTTGCAACAACGTTCTGTCCTTTGCGATACACCTTGGTAGTTGGTAGTTCTCAACTTCGCCAACAGATCGCTCTGCGCTACATGGCAACCAATAACCTGCAAGATTAGTGAAACGGGGGTCTGACTTAGGGGAGGTACGAATGAGGCATTTAGTTCAAAATTCCTCCGTGAACAGCGCTGTAGTAGAGAGAACTTTGGCAATGAAGGTTTACTAATCGCAAAAATAGTTCTGGTAATAAAATAAAATTATAAATGTCTCAAATTCAATTTTATTATTTTTTAATTATAAAATTATACTATCATAACCTAACCGAACTAACCAAACTTGCTGATAAAGAAATAATATAACAAAAGTTTAGTAATCGGAAAAATAATTCTGTTTATTAAATAAAACTAGAATTTGCTCAATTAAAATTTTATAATGACTTAATAATAAAATTAAACTGTAATAACCGAGCCAAACCAACCAAACTTGCTGATAATAAAAAAATCTTGGACAAAAAGCTAATGCTACCAGCGGGATTCGAACCCGGGACCTACAGCATACCAGCCCGGCACGCTAACCAACAGACCACCGAGGCCGATGGCTACCGATCGTTTTGTTACGGTAATGGCGTTCCCTCAGCTAATAAGAAGCCCACAGCTGTCATCGTAGCCTCTTCTATACCTCCCCTGAGTAAATACCGTGAAACGGTGGAACTGAGGACGAACCAATCACCTGTCTGCTATTAAACTGACAACTCAACTCATCAAAACTCTGTTCATCTACATCAGCTGTTTGTTTAAATATAACCCGATATTGAATTGAAACATATCAACATAACCTGCAAGTTAGTTTATGTTGTTGAAAAATGAAGACATTATTTATTTAATCAAATACTAATTGAAAAGGGTCCTGAACTGGAGAAAACTGGTAATTATTGTTATTGCTATGCTCTCTTTATTCATTATTGTAAATAT